TGCATTTGGCAGAGGCGTCGGCGGAGTTTGTGATCGTGAAGGAGGGGGTTTTCGGGGTAAGCCTGTAGTTCTTGGATTTTGATCCTGTGATGTTCTTTTTTTTTTGTAATTTTAGTTCCCCTTTTCTTTTTTTTTGGGCGAGATTTTGTGACTTGTATATTGTGTATGAAATAGACTGATCAAGTGATGTTCATAAGAGGTCTCAGAGGAATCTGTCCTCAAAATACCAAAGATTGGAGGTTTTTTATTTCTTTTTTTATTTCTTTTTTGTTTTGGGGTTCTGCAATTGTTTGGATTCTGGTTGTTAGGGCCCGTTTGGTTGATGTTTTTGACCTCGCGTGTTGGGTAGAAAGCCTGCCAAAAGTGCTATAGACTGATTAAGTGATGTTCATAAGAGGTCTCAGAGGAATCTGTCCTCAAAATACCAAAGATGGGGTTTTTTTTGTTTTTTTTTGTTTTGGGGTTCTGCAATTGTTTGGATTCTGGTTGTTAGGGCTCGTTTGGTTGATGTTTTTGGTCTCGGGTATTGGGCAGAAAGCCTGTCAAAAGTACTTTTTTGGCAGGCTTTCTGCCCAACACCCGAGGCCAAAAACATCAACCAAACGGGCCCCAAGGGGGCGTTTGGTTCCTGTTTTTGGAGAGAGAAAGTAGGGGGAAAGCTATGAAAATGGCAGCTTTTTGGCAGCTTTCTCTCAAAATTGCTTCTTTAAGAGGTGATTTTGGGGGAAAGCTACCAAAAAGCTGCTATTTTTGGCAGCTTTCCTCCATTTTACAACTCCAAAAAATCAATCCAAGCGGGCTCCAAATTTTCTTCTGGGAGGCAGTGCCTCGAACCTTGCAGGGGTGATGCAATTTTGTAGGCATTCAATTCTGTGTCTCGTGATATTTATTTTCTATGTAAATCGGACCCAATAAACAACAAAATGTTTTTTTCTTCTTATTATCAGGGAGTGTTTCTCTAATCTCCTTCAATGCTAGGAGTCTAAGTGTATCTCTATCCACACCTACAATCATCATTTCTCTTCCATCAGGACATGTCAATTGTCCTCAGATCTAGACTTGATCGCACTCAACCTAGCTCTCAACACCTTTAGCCTTCAGATTGGAGTTAACTTTGACTTGTGCCACAATCGGGAGTTAATGGGTCTTCAAACGGAGATCCTAAGGGGCTGTTTGGTTCGCTATTATAAGGGGTGGAAAACTCAGAAAACCTCTCCACGTTAGATTTTTAACCCTCCACGTCAGTTTTTTTTGTTTCCGTCCATTTCTTTGTGTCGCTTTGGTTCGCTCGAATGGAAGATGGAAAACTCTGCTGAAATCGCCGCCAACTAAGATTTTTTTCCTCTCCGATTTCCTTCCCTAACCAAGTGAAATTGATGAAAACTCTGACACGTAAGATTTTTTTCCTTCTCTGCTTTGTTTACAAAAGTTTTTCTTTTTTTTCTATGCGAACCAAACACAAAAAAAATAAATACATTGGTTTCCCACTATTTTTTATGTGCGAACCAAAGCAAAACAATCTATTTCTTGGAAAAGTTTGAAAAACTCAAAACTTGTGTTTCTTTACATGGAATTGCATTTCTCTATATCAAGGAAACGAACCAAACAGCCCCTAAGAATCAATTTTAACTAAAAGTTTTTAACTTATTAGATATTGACTAACTTCTATTTAAACCAAGCTTATCATTCCCTGTACACGACCATATTCCTTAATAAGTGGATGGTACAGGGAAGAAGAGACTTCCGAAAGAGGAGCCGACTTGATGATCCGAAGGTCTATGCTCACGAGCAGACACACATAAGACCGGAGCTGGGTCCTGCCGAAGCTTCGCCGTACGATCAAGTCGATGACTGTCATATGATACAGTGCTATAATTTTAAAGACTTGGTATGAAGTTCTCACATCCCAAAGTTTTTTAAGTTTGTTATAGCATCTCCAATGGTGGCACTATTTGAGGTTGCCAAATTTTGCCAAAGCATCACAAATATTAACTTTTTATTTTCTCTCTCATCCACATTACTTTTGGCAACTTTTACCAAAAAAATGGTCCAATAGTTGGCAACTCCAAAAGTTCCCTACATGGTCCCACATATTACTTGAGAATATTGGAAATTTGGATTTTGAGGGTTGGTATGTGGAGAATTTGGTGAATTTTGAAAAATTTGAGAATGTTGGAAATTTGGATTTTGGGGGTTTGTATATGGAGAATTTTGAGAATTTGGGAATCCATTTAGTAAGAGAAGAAATTTTGAGATATTGAAATTTTGAACAAGAATATATGAAACGTTGTGAAAAAAATGAATGATATTGAGTGATATTTATAGAGAAACAAAATAAATTTAATTTGGTTTTAAAAAAATATTAATAAAGCACCAACGGTCAAAAGAACTGTTGGTTTGATTTTTCTTAAAAAAATTTTGAAAAGAGGGTTAGAGCTGTTGCCAACTTTTGGCAACTTTACTTGACTCCCTTGCTCCTCCAATGGTTAGCAACTTATGGAGCTTTGACATGAATAGGTGAGCACTCTCCTTAGCAATGACCGCTGGAGATGCTCTTAGGAACCTCCTTAATTCCATGAGAGACTATAAATGACAATTACAAAAACTTAATATTTTGAAAAAACAAATCTAAGTCATCCATACATAATTACCCAAGTAAAAGACCAATAGTAAGAACAGAGATGCCAGTAATTAATAAAAGTAAAATACTCAAAAGAAAGGGCATGACACGAACATTTTTTTTTTGCACAGAAAAAGGACCGGGTCCAAACCTCCGTCAGAAAAACGCGCGAGTTTCCACTCTCGTTTAAAACTTCTCCGCTCATGACGACCTCCAGTCTTCTTCTCTCCTCGCTCGCATCGGATCCAAAAATGTCCACCGCTCTCCACCCCTCCTCGCAATGCGACATCGGCGAGAGTCGGAGCTCAGCCCGTCATGCGACGAAACCGCTCGCCAGACCCATCCACCGTGCCCCCCGGGCCCGCCAGGGCGCATGACCGACAACAGTAACAGTCGCACGGGCACCAGGGTGGAAAGGGGTGGGCAGTCCGCCAGCGGTTGGAGTCTGGAGGCGAACGAATGCCGAGCCTGCGCAAAATACCCGGTCGCAGCGTCGTCCACCGTCGCGCCGTTGGCCCGTCCATCAACACCTGTGCCAGACCCTCCCAGTTCCGGGTCCTCCCCGTCGGATGGGACCAGGGCTCGAGGACCGGTTGTCGACAGAGGGCTCCGGCTCCGCGGGGGCGGCGAACTAGCGAGGTATGTGACGCGAAGCCCGGTCTGGTGAGAAGCGGTGAAGAAGGGATGTGTGTCGGATCTGGAGTAATCTGAAGCTGGTGGTGTTTCCGAACCCGAGCCGGGAGGACCCGGGGAAGGCGCTGAGGGATTGGGATCTCTGGGGTCCTTTCTTCTTCATTGTGTTTCTTGGCCTCGTTCTTTCGTGGTCCGCGACGGCCAGAAAGGTAATTTTAGCTGAGAATATATAGCATGCATTAATGTGAACTTGAGGAAAGCGTAAATAACAAGATTTGGTAGGGATCCTATCAGAACTCCGCACGGTACGAGAATTCCGAGAGCCAAACAGGAACAACGAAGCGTCGTACTTGTGCCCCTTACAAGTACTCGCCAGGGACTCAGAAGGTCCGGGTCCGTTCAGGACGTTTTGATAGGATTCCTACTCATTTATAGTATCATGTAATTCCTCTTTTCAAAAGATTTCCATCATCAAATTTATTCATGGAATCACAAACGACAATCGAATTTTTAGAGGGTATTCTTAACATATCCCACAAGATCGTACCCCAATAATCCAATTCCGTTGAAATTCTGGTTGATTTGGTCAATCCATCTGACAAGAACCACGCTTTTGGCATGCTTGAAATAGACTAGAAGTCAAATTATTAAAAATTCTATTGTTGCGCGCCTTCATTCAAAAAGAACCAAAACGTCGCTCTAATCCTTCACATATGAACACAAGGCCAAGAAAATCAAACCTCGAAGTACTCTAAGACGCAACAAGTTTTGCTCGGGCTAATCCTGGCTTGCTGCTTTGATCATGTGCCAGTCCCAAGTGTTTGCCGTTGCCTTTGCCGTTCTCGCTGCCGGAGCTATAATTCTAACCCTGAACGTCCTCCTCCTCGGCGGACGCATAATCTTCTTCCAGAGCGTGAGTCTTCTCGGATACTGCTTGTTCCCTCTAGATGTCGGTGCTCTTGTATGCATGGTGAAAGATGATGCTGTTGTAAAGCTTGTCATGGTGACGATCACACTGGCTTGGAGCTCATGGGCAGCTTACCCTTTCGTGAGTACCGCCGTTGTCCCGGGGCGAAAGGCTCTGGCAATATATCCTGTGTTACTCATGTACATCTCTGTCGGATTTTTTATCGTTGCGATCACCTAGAAGGTCACATATATATAGTCTGAACAAAGTATTCGGTGGTCCTGATCCATGACATTAATGGTGCACCTAATGGATATCGATCCTTTAATGAAAGGAGCTGAGGATTTGTGCCTTGTCATTGGATTATGTTTCGTGAGCTATTCTTCGATTTATTTTGTACCGGGTATTTCTTTGGTTTTAGACGTTTTTTTCCTTCAAATTTGACAGTTACCGGGGATGTTAAAGGTCTTGCCACCTCAACATTATCTTAGAGAAATGAAGGTGTGGAAAGAGAAAATTCCAAATTAATTGTTGAAGAAATAGAGACTGAAATGATTTTGAGATTATATGTCGGGCTATATATATTTGGGGTAAATTGGAACCTTGAAACATATTTATATCTTGGTTTCTTTTTTGCTCGTAGATTTTCTTATTCTGAGTGAAGTCTGTAGGCTTAGATTAAAGCTAATGGGGCTAAGTGTAATTTCGTTTACCACACGACCTAGAAAGAAAAATAAATAAAAAAAGAATGCCTTTTCCAGAGTAACAGCGTCTTTGAAGTTAAAAAAAGAAAAAAAAATGCTTCCAGCCCCCAAAACCCAAGAAAACGTGCCCCCTCCTCCCCAAGACTTTATCAACGGATGTTTTGCCCTCAAAAATAAATATTTTGTTCTCTGAGCCCCCAAAACACAAAACCCAAGAGATTAAAATATGTAAAGACCATAATACATTTCTCTTTCTCTTTTTTTTTTATCATGATGTACTGAGATTATAGTTGAAATGATTGATGATAATTATTTTATTATTTTCGTTGTTGATGAGGGAAACTTTGTATTGGGAGATTGTTAAAGTTACGGGTTAATTGTTAAGATTACGAGTTAATTGTTAAAGTTACACGTCAATTGTTAAGGTTATGGATCCTCTCTCTCTCTCTCTCTCTCTCTCTTTATCATGATGTTACTGTGATGATGTTGAAATGATATTGAAAGGGATTATTATTTTATTATTTTTGTTTTTTATTATTTTCGTTGTTGATGAGGAAACTAATTGTTTTTGTTTGTATTTATTTTATTATTTTTGTTTTTTATTATTTTCGTTGTTGATGAGGAAACTAATTGTTTTTGTTTGTATTGGGAGATTGTTAAGAGGAAACTAATTGTTTTTGTTTGTATTGGGAGATTGTTAAGGTTACGGGTTTAATTGTTAAGATTACGGGCTTGGTTACGTGTTTAATTGTTAATGTTACGGGTTTGTTGTTAAGGTTACAGATTTGTTGTTAAGGTTACGGATCGGTTGTTAATGTTACGGGTTAGTTGTGAAGGTTACGGGTTTAATTGTTAAGGTTACGGGTTGGTTGTTAAGGTTACGGGTCGGTTGTGAATGTTACGAGTTTAATTGTTAAGATTACAGGTTTACTTGTTAAGGTTATGTTTGTGGGAAAATTTGTAATAATGAAAGAACTGTATCTGATTTTATTCTCTCTAACTGCTTAGAAAAAGAATGATTACAACTCTCTCAACTCTCGATTACAATTGGATTTCCTGATTACAAAAGAGAAGAGAATGATCTGGATTCTCTCCTTTGTTTAATTCTGGGTTCTTCTTGGTAGCGATGAGATGCCTCCCTCGAATGCTTGCGTCGAGTTTGCTTCTCGTTGACGATCCGAATATCTATACTCACTGGAACAACTGTCTTGGCCGGTTTGATAACTCTTGTCGAGTTTTGTGATTCAGAACAAGTAACAAACTCTAATGATAGAGTTGTTGGAACCGAAAATAATTCGGTTAATAAGCCAAATATCGATGGTTTAGAGATCCTCCGTTTGTTGATTTCCCAGACTGTGTAAGGAGTCAATCCTCCTTTTTCTGATTCTGGAAGATTTGCGTTTGGGCAGTGATGGAGCTGCGTTTGAGCAGCGATGGAGCTGCGTTTGACAGCGGTATAGAGTTGCGTTGGGCAGTGCTTGGAGCTGCGTTTGTGCTGCGTTTGGCAGCGGATCTGAGCTGCGTTTACAGCAATTTGGAAGCTGCGTTTGTACGATTTAAGAGCTGCGTTTGGCAGCGGATCTGAGCTGCGTTTGGAGCTGGATGTGACCTGCGTTTACAGCGTTTGAAGGCTGCGTTTACAGCGATTTAGAAGCTGCGTTGGCGGCCGAATCTGAGCTGCGTTTGAGTTGCGTTCGTGGCTATGAACGCGGCGCATCTTGATGCTGGTACGCGGGGAGGACTTCCACGTCTTGATTTGAAGAGACCGTCGATTTGTAGTCTATTTCTATCGAAGTTTTGCAAATATCGTCATTTTGTAATCTTTACTTTAGCTCTTTGATATGCAAGAGTCATCAGATTGTAACTCTCGATGTTGATTGTGAAGGCTGTTGAATTAGAGCTCTCATCGGTTGTCGTGAAGGTCGTCAGATTGTAACCTTCAGCGATCTACGTGAAAGTCTTCAAATTGTAGCCTTCTGGAAGTCGTCAGATTGTAACTTCTATCATCGGTGTTTTGATGGGGATCAGCTATCTATTGTAATTTTTTTGACAGCCTACATGTTACATGTTTGCTGTTAAGGTTACGGGTCGGTTGTTAAGATTACGGGTTTGTTGTTAAGGTTACAGGTTTGTTATTAATGTTATGAGTTTGTTGTGTAGGTTAACTTCACAACCAAAGCGTAACATTCACAACCAATGCATATCCTTAACAAAAAATCTGTAACCTTAATAACAAACCTGTAACCTTAACAACCAACCTGTAACATTCACAATCAACCATTATCCTTAACAACGAATATTCTAAAAATATTATGGCTGTAGGGGTTTGAACCTCTAACCTCTTGTCCAAACTTCCAAACTTTACCACTAGGTCAAGTGACCCAAAATATTCATTCCACTCAAAAAATATATATATATACATATATATATCCCAACGTGTAACATTCACAACCAGCCCGTAACCTTAACAACCGATCCGTAACCTTAACAACCGACCCGTAACCTTAACAACAAACCCGTAACCTTAACAATTAAACCCGTAACCTTAACAATTAAACCCGTAACATTCACAACCAACCAACCCGTAACCTTCACAACTAACCCGTAACCTTAACAACCGACCCGTAATCTTAACAATTAAACCTGTAACCTTAACAATTAAACTCGTAACCTTAACAATTAAACCCATAACCTTCACAACCGACCCATAACCTTAATAACCAACCCGTAACCTTAACAATTAAACCCGTAATCTTCACAACCGACCCGTAACCTTAACAACCAGGCCACAACCTTAACAACAAACCCGTAACCTTAACAATTAAACCCGTAACCTTAATAATTAAACCCGTAACCTTCACAACCAACCCGAAACCTTAACAATTAAACCCGTAATCTTAACAATCTCCCAATACAAACAAAAACAATTAGTTTCCTCATCAACAATGAAAATAATAAAAAAACAAAAATAAAATAACAATCTCCTTCAATCATTTCAACATCATCACAGTAACATCATGATAAAGAGAGAGAGAGAGAGAGAGAGAGAGAGAGAGAGAGAGAGAGAGATCCATAACCTTAACAATTGACAAAAAATGCCAAAGAATAT